CTGCTGCTGCTGGCGAGAGTGGGGCCCCCGCTGCGTGTGTTAATGGGCAGTATGAGCTGCTGCTGCTGCTCCTCGACAGCCCCCGCGCTTGAGTCTGCCGATGACAGCAGCAGCAGCAGCAATAGCAGCAGCAGCAGCAGCAGCAGCAGAAGCGGCGACCCTCTGGCTATCTATAAACCCATTTAGTCTTAATAATTATTAATTATATTAATTAATAAAATAAGCATAAAGCTATGCTCAGTAATAGCAGCTGCAGCACGTTAACATAATGCCAGCAGCAGCAGCAGCAGCAGCAACAGCAGCAGCAGCAGCAGCAGCAACAGCAGCAGCAGCAGCAACGACTCGGGGCCTCGTCTGTGTATTTCTGGTGTGCGGCTGAGGCTACAGTAGCCTCAACAGCAGCAACACCAATGCATGCTGCTACTAATAAATTTTATTCTTGCTTAGGTTGTTATACTCACACCAACAGCTGCTGCTGCTGCTGTCTCCGCTGCAGCAGCAGCAGCAGCAGGCCTCCGTGGGGCCCCCCGTCCCCTTTAGGCCCTTCATTTCTTTCCTCCACTGGCAGCAGCAGCCCGAGCGCTTAGCAGCAGCTGCTGCAGCAGCTGCAGCAGGCAAGGGGGCGCGACGGCGGTGCCGCAGGCAACCTTCGCTTCTGCTGCTGCTGCTCCTGCTGCAGCAGCAGCAGCACCAGCAGCAGCAGCAGAACAAACGTATCCCCTGTGTCTTGTGCCCAGGCAAGGGCTAGCAGCGTGTGGTGTTGAAGCAGCAGCAGCAGCAGCAGCAGCATCGACGCCTGCAGCAGCACGAAACAGAGCCAACACCAACAGCACCGACTGGAGCAGCAGCAGCAGCAGCAGCAGCAGCAGCACCAACTGAAGCAGCAGCAGCTGCTGCTGCTGCAGCAGCAGCAGTAGTGAAAATGGAGGCCCCATACCTTATGGAATGCTATGAGGACTGCCGGTCCCTCAAGTTTCAGCACGGTGTGTTGCTGCTGCTGCAGCTCCTGCTGCTGCTGCTGCAGCTGCTGCTGCTGCTGCCGCTGTAGATGCTGCTGCTGCTGCTGCTGTAGCTTTTGCTGCTGCTCCTCTTGCTGCTGCTGGTGTTTGT